GGATAAATTGGTATAAATTGGTTGCTAACGCAAGGATAGAACGCCACAAAGATTTGCTATCATAACTCGTAATATTATTATTATTATTATATCAAATGGCAGGCGTCTTGATGGCTATCATTAGCCCTTTAGTTGACTTAAGGCTTCACAGAGAGGAAGGTACATCAAATTTAAAAAAAAGTCGAGAGGGGAGGGGGAACAGAAGAGTGGTTCACAGATGTAAAAGAGACAGGCAGACACAATGGTAGGAAAAAGCTGTGGTGAGTACTGTGGAAATAGTCGAATTAGGCATAGAGTGAGGTGATGGTAGTTTGAAGTGAGAAGTCAACTGCCGGTTAATAGATGTGTATACGTTGCCCAGGGTGCACCACGTGGAGGTAAGTCTATCACACACCCCTAACTCGTAATATTGTAAGTGTTTCTTGAGGTTTTACTCTGAGCAATAGTCACTTGAATATGTAAAATAAAAAAGTTACCCACTAGGTAATAAAGAGGGTTTGCAAAATAAGTGAATTCGATTTCCGGAATTCGAAAACATACCCAATAAGAATAGTTATCCCCCTAGTAATATGTCAGCCTTCTTTATTTTACATGATTTAGGGGAAATTGAGTAAATTCGCTCAGTCCCGTGTTAGTACTGGGGGCTGGTGATTTTTTAGCAGATCAACAATTTTATAACACTTCCATTCAGTGCAAGCAATCAAGGTTAAGGTTTCGTTGACAGAATTATCTTTTCTGCACATTGAATTTTCTCAAGGTTGCCACAAGTCCAATCAGGTGATTCCACATAAGATCGATATCTCTGGGGCTGCACGTTATTGACCAGAGGTCTCGTTGAAGGATGGCCGGCATTAATGTCAATTGCAGATTAAATGAATTATTTTCTAATAATAACCAAATTGACCTCCAAAAGGATAATATCGAATTTCAAATGCACCAAGTATTGGAGGGAATATGTTCCCACTCTGATTGTCCGTTCTTTAATAAAAAGGCCTTTCTACGGCTCTATAGACATTTCAACAACTTAAAGAGCCAAGAGCCTCTGAAATGGGAAAGCATTCAGCATGTCGATGATAAACATGTAAGTACTACTTCCAAACTACAAACGAGAATTTTTCCTAAAGTGTGGTCGGCTTTCTCATTCTGCTACTCGGACAGTCAATGTCTTCATTTATTGTCCAACCAGATATTTGAAATCACTAGACTAAAGTCGATTTTGATCCAGGTGAAATGAGAGTAGCGAAGTTGTTCCAGGACAGTTATTAACTGAACAAAAAACCCACACATTACAAGTTGTTTTTAGCGATGACAGTATTTGTTTCATCAATGTTTAAGCTACCAAAAGTGGCGTGTGTCCATATATTGACATTGATAGCCGAAGTTGCTCATTCGGCAACAAAATTTTCTTTTAACGGCCTTGAGATCTGTTTGTAGGCATTTTTCAAGCCCTTCGAAGGGGAATGTCTTGTGTAAGGAGGAGTACTTCCAATCCTCTCTTGTGAGAAATTACCTTCCATTAAACCTCCAGTTTGCTAAAATCAACGAGAGAGGTTAAGTAGAAATATATCTCACAACTTCCTGCATTTTTTTTCTAGGATCAAATTACCTTTTCATTTATTTTTTGCAGGTTTTTCTGATCTTCTTATAAGGAACATTTGAAATTGCATTGATTTTAGATTAAAAATTACAATCGTCTACTTGAACCAACGGAACAGGCCATCGCTTCAGCCCTTTCGAAATTAGTCGTTCTCAAACTGAATGGAGGTCTTGGAACGTCAATGAACTGCCACGGAACAAAGTCATTAATACCAGTGAAAAATGGGAAAACATTTTTAGAAATGAATTTGCAGCAAATAGAGGCAAGTTTAATTATGTAATACACCTCTCGAATACAGGTGTCATATGGCAATGAAATTGCCGATAATTAACTTTAGAAAAGTGTGTGTTATAATAGTTGTTTGTAATGCAAGTGCATTTTATACCTTCTCAATTTTTAGGACCTCAATAAACAATACAATTCAAATGTTCCTTTTGTTTTGATGAATTCATTTAATACCCATGACGAAACAATGGAATTCCTTCAGAGAATTCAGATAAACCAGACAAAGCCTATCATAGTTCAGCAAAATAGGTGAGTACTCAATGCGATGTTCCAAAGTATCTGCTTAAGTGAACAGTCATAGCTGCCTTCGTGGAGCTATGTCTAAATTAAAATGGTTTAATCATCAAATTTAAGCTGTTTTAAATTCTAAAATAACCTGCACTTGCTGTTTCATTTAAAGATTTCCAAGATTGCGGGAGGAGTCTGGTTTGCCAATTGCGAACTCCTGTCAGCTGGAAGAACTTCATGATCAAGCTTGGTATCCACCGGGTCACGGTGACGTCTACAGATCACTACAAAATGCAGGACTGTTGGACAGATTCATTGAAGAGGGAAAGCATTGGATTTTCATATCCAATATCGATAATATTGGCGCGGTTCCTGATCCTAGTAAGCGTTTTTTTCGAATCATGTCACTTGGAGTAAGTGCGCAATTTTTAAGAGAATTGGGGAGGAGAAAAGACGAAGTTGAATGATTGGCGTAAGTAAAACAAAGACAGCTTATATAACTCAGTTAGACAGAGATCGCTATCTAATTCTGAATGAGCCTGAGAACGTATTAGTATGGGCATATTTTTAAATGAAACGGGTACTTCTAAGTTATGGAGAATTAACAAACACGTCTTGGGGAAAGAGTTGAAACAAGTTTGGGTTAGAGTCAAAGAATTTCAGACAAACTTTTCGTATTACTCTGATTTGATCAATACTTTTGAGCAAAGAATAAAAATGTGTGTGAGTGAGTGTGTGCGTTTGGTACTGATGTCTAATAGGAATCAATCAAAACAAGGTAGGAGATTCCCTAAAGCGATCCTGGACCAATGCGAGATCAAGGAACTTTATTTCAAGAGAATATAATTTCTGAAAAGTTTGTTTTGCTTGATGCTACACAATTACGCTTATTATCGATTGATTCGAGTCGTGAATTTAACAAAAAAGCCAATCTGATTATGCCAACCTTTTGGAATAGGCAAAAAATTGTAATTTTGTTTGATTAAAGTTGCCCTAGCCATGATAGGGTGGTGAAAGATGGCAGGAGTTGTAAACTTCATACTCGGCATAAAAAATTGAGTTAAAAGAGCGTCTTACCATCAATATTGCCGGACATTTGGGCGTGATTGACTTGGCACATTTTATATTAGTTGTTTCGGTAGATTCTTCGGAGTAAACGAAATCCCTTAGTTCTGAATTTTTCGACTTTGAGTACAATTCATTTATATCAAATAATAGGCTTTATGAAAGTTATCATTAGCCCTTTGGTTCATTTCGGACTTCACAGAGAGGAGGAACATCAAAGTCGTGAGAGGGAACAGAAAAGTGATTCACAAACGTAAAAGCGGGTGACACAGAGGTAGAGAAAAAAGGCAAGGTCTATAGGCCTTTTTTGACATACGAGTATGCGTTGCCCAGGTGGGAGACAGGTATAGGCGGATATTGAGCAGAAATGTTGGTAGAAGTAAGGTGGTAAAATGTTAAAGGGGAACTTTCGTAGAAATAACCCTCAATTCCCAGGAAATATGCTTAAATATTTCTGGCTTAATGAACAACATGCAGTTTGTTAAGAAATCGATGCTTCTTTACTTTCCGTATTGCCAATGTTACAAATACATGTTATATAATGTTACTTAAATGCTTATAAGCATTATCAATCTCAATGTACTTGTTATTACATATAGATTTTTTTATATTAGAAATTCTGTGCTGGTTGGAGGAGCAGGAAAAGATGGGTGCGGAGCATGGAATTGATTTTCTGATGGAAATCGCTGATAAAACTCCGGTAGATAGGAAAGGCGGGACTCTTGCCATCCATAACGGAGCTCTCAAACTTCTGGAAATTGCCCAAGTACGTAGCAGTTTGCAATCTGGAACTATCTATTTACATGAAAGAGAAGTACTTAACAATAAATTAAAACCACTGTCTTTACTTTAGGTTCCAGAAGGCCATATAAAAGACTTTCTGGATCCCGAACAATTCAAATTCTTTAACACCAATAACTTATGGATCAATATTAAGACTTTGAGGGATAAACTCATGGACAATGAACTTAAATTGGATTTGATTGTAAACAAAAAGACACTTAAAGATGGGACCAAAGTCATTCAGCTTGAAGAGGCCTGTGGTGCAGCAATCAACTGTTTCAAGAAGCCAATGGGTGAGTGTCTTTTGCAGACTAAAAATATGACATACCCCTTTGTTTCGCACACGATATAGCTCAAAAAAGTTCCTGTGTAAGTAGATTGCCAAATATGTAAATCAAGTAAGGCATATTGTATTAAATTTATTTATTTATATCAAATGGCTGCTTAGGACAGTCTTTTATATTAATAAGCCACTTTCGCATTTGTTTTTTTTTTCTTTTCAGTCAAATTTTTTCAGATGGTATACTTGATAATCATTCACTTTTGTTTTACTATCTTTTCGTCTCTATTTCAGGTTTGAGAGTCCCGCGAAGTCGTTTTCTGCCTGTGAAACTAACCTCTGATCTGCTGATCCTGCGATCGGATCTGTTTGAGGCTACAACCACTGGTTTGAAACGTTCACCAAAGCATACATTGCCCGATCTTCCAACTATCGAATTCAGCAGTCATTTTAACGGTGTCGAAGATCTTGAACAACGGATATCTGATCCACCAAGTATGATTCACCTTCGACATCTAATCCTCAATGGGAATATTCGTTTTGGGACTAATGTCACTCTCAAAGTAAATCTCTATATATATATATTACTTTATTCGCCTAAAGTAGTTGAAATAGGTGACAATTTTCTATCTTGATGTTTTTTAGGGAAGAGTGGAAATAACACCGAGAACTGACGAAATCTTCCTTATTCCTGATGGAATTACTCTCGAAGATACAGTTATTATAGAGCCAATTCAAGGCCATAATCATTAATTTTACGTTGCTTTTAATTCATTTGCTGCTTCAGTTTGGTGCTTACTTGTGTAATTTGTATTTGGTAATAGTACATGTTTTTATTATTTGGGTTCGAAGCGCTTATTTTTAATTTCCCAAATGCTGGATCAAAAAAGTGAATGAAAATTAAAAGACTATTTAGAGATTAGCTCTTCAAATAATTGCCTTGCCATAATTTGTGCGTGTGTATGTGTAAATATCATGCTAATGTGGGTATAATATTGTTCTGTAAGGACAATAGTAATCATTTTTTCCACCCTACTACCAAGGTGTCAATGTAATGAGCATTAATTAATTAATGTGATGTGAGTTAATAATTCCTGAAACCAGTTGGAAAAACATTTTCAAAATCAAATCTTGGATTAGCATCGCAGTATCAAAGATCGTTCCTTGTGAGAATGGGATTCAAATTTTGCGGCTTTCTTAGCTAATCAGACTTTGCTTGGCTGTGGACTTATGAAAATTCAACCTGCAATCTCTGTATGATGGCCAGTGGACAGAGGACGATTGTCAGTGAAGCTCACCTCAAGACTCAAATCATCATCTGACTAAAACTTTACCCCTCCCATTAAGACTCCTTAATGGACTGGGTTTACCTCTGACTTCAATTATTTTCCGTTATCTTATTCTACTCGTCTCCTCTCCAACTCCCAATGGTTAAGTAGATCCGGTTTTTGGTAGTTATTCCTCTCCTACCCTTCGCTGCGCAGATATCTCCCCTTCTATGAAATTAGTATCCTCTCTTAAAATTGCATTGCCGTTCATTTTGCTGCCAGATTTACGACCGATTCAAGAGTTTCTGTGATATTAGAACAGCCAAGAAATCATTTCAAGCGTTCTCTGGTAGGAATTGATGTTAACATATCGATCGAATTGAATGAAAGAAGCCCTGTGCTGTTTCGAAAGTTCGGTATGTTGGAACTTTTGCACACTTCTACAGTGAAAAAAAAGACCTTTCCCAACCTCAACTACATACTTCTGGCCGCAAGAGGATGCAAGTAAACCAAACTTGTAGAAAAAAAGTTATTCAATTGAATAAAATTTTTAAAAGTCTCCGGCTCTATCACCTCATTTCACCTACTCACAAACTTGAATTGGGCTTGGTGGGTGACAAAGCCCCCACCCACCAATATGTTTTCTCTTCAACCCTACCTTTAGTCATCTCATTCGCTAATGGCTGATTTATTCTATTAAAAATTAGGAAAGTAATAAGTTCCTGGAGAAATATCTGAATTAAATTGTAGAGCTCTTAAAATAGCGTAACTACCTAGATTTGTGCCACTTCATGAGCTTTCAATATCACCTGAATACATCTAGCTATGTCAATTCTAAGGCCTTGGTTAAAGTAAAAGAAAAGTAAATAGTGTATTAAAAGCTTAACAAAACACATGTTAGCGAATTCAAATAAGTAGCGACTCATACACGTAACAGAAAATAGAAATTCTTCGTGTTGACCTAATTTATTATTATTATTTTATTTTATTTAATGTGATATAAAGGTTTATTACCTGGCAGCAAGTGAATAAATAAGCATAATTTGTAGTTAGAATTCATCTGTCGAAATCAAGATTCTTGAAGATGGAGGATTTGTCCTATAGCTCATAGCTAATTTCCTTTTCCTGAGCGAGGTGATGAGGGGGTTGTGTGAGATCTTCAGCCATCCAATCCAGCTTTCTACCCAACTCTCTCACTTGAATTCGTTGACACGCCTTAAGTAATGAAGTCATCTTGTCTGCCCTTTTGCCTTCATCGCCGGTCAGTTCATTCAATTGTTTTATATTATCGTCCGCCATCGAGAGAAACGTGTTGAAGTGCTCGACTATGTAGGCATCCCATTTATCTCTAAGTTCTTGTTTCATTCTCTCCTTTTTGAGGAAGTTGGAGAACTATGTTGCAAAAGCGTTTACAGAATGGCACATTTAAATTTTGTTTTCATTACAAAGCTCAGACAAATTGAAAATAAATGCAAAAGTTATTTTAATCGAAAAACCTAAATGGGTTACTATTTATTGCAAAATTAATTTATTTAAATTATATTGAAATTGATTTCACTAAAATAATTGTGATATAGTGTTATTGTTGTATGATGACTTCTATGATGTAAGTGAATGATTACTAGTTCCTGTAAGTTTGTGAATATATTCTCTGTAGTAGGCTTTATTAGAAGGTTATAGTTGTCATGGTATTTGGAAGGTAAAGGCCTAGACTTCTTCGAAATAGCCTGACCAATGCATCCAATTTATTAAACTGTTCAATAAACTCCTATTCCAACATCTACAGAACTCTAAGGATCTAAGCACGAAATTGCACACAAGCTGAATCCAAATTAACTAAGACCTACGTCCAGTTTTCTTTAACCCATTTACTTTCCGTTCTCATAACCTAATGTATCATTTGAATTCCCCCCCCCTTGAACACTCGTTTTCTCCTCATGATAAAGAATACAGATTGGGATGCTTTAGGAATAAGTACAATTTAACTTACATAAAATCGAAGATAAGATCTCACTAAATTGTAGACTCTGTCAGGTACTTTACGCTTGCGGTTCTCATAGCACTTGATTAGTACGGTCCTAAGTTGGTCCGTAAATGTAATGAACGGACGTTGGGGTGGAATAATTGGAATGGTTGCCCTATCGGCAATCCATTTTGAGGGGCTGGAAGGATAATCGGTCTAAAATGAAAGTGAAACATTTGAAAAGATAAAAGTAACGGGAGCACCACAAGAAAATTTAATTACGGGTATGCAGGCATTAAACCGAAAAGCTTTGCCTGATATTACAATGGTCAAATGTAACATATCTTCACCATTTTTAAGGAAATCTACTTTCAAGTCTGAAATAGATCTCAATTGTTCTGTTAGAAAGATGTACTCCCTTCTAAATTCCGCACTGCTAAGCATCCTATAGAGTGACTTTTTACGAAACTGGGAAAGCCTTAATTAGATTTAACTATATTATTGAATATTGGTCATGCGCTAAAAATAGTAAAGATAGTAAAAATACACAGTTGTCGTTGCTGAATTATCATTGCGTCTTTAAATTTTAAAAGATTAATATTACGGCAAATTTCGTACTTTTTTAGTTAGTATCATGGCCTTGGGTTGACCTTCGGATATTTTCGGACTCAAAAAATCAAAAATAGTGTTTGTGAACCTCGCTGAGGCAAGACTGGAAAGTCGACGGGATGAATTTATAATACAAATAAAAGCGCAGTATGTTATTGGGCTAACTCCCTGCACATTATTCGCACCGCCCCTGTCTGTCAGATTATTGTTTTTCGCGGCTACTTGCTTGAATAAGTAGTCAATTTAATTCAGCTTCTTCTAAATCACCAACCCTCCGTACAACTGAAAACAGTATAAGGTGGCAAAGTAGCAACCTTGCCGGTCAGTCCTCTTTAAGCCTTACTAGCAAGCAGACTGATATGAATCCTACCTTTCCATAGAAGTTCATTATAAAATGGTATCTTTTCTTAAATATCCCCTCACACCGGTATCATAAATAAGCTTCTCCATCGCTTCATACATTATCACATTTGTGATAAAGTGCAATAAACGGGATTTATTTATATATTTCAAATGGCAGGCGTTTTGATAGTTATCATTAGCCATTTAGCTGACTTTGGGCTTCACAGAGAGGAGGAGGAATATCAAAGTGTCAAAAAGTCGAGAGGGGGGGGGGACAGAATAATGATTCACAGATGTGACAGAGACAGAGAGACAGGCACAAAGGTAGAGAAAAGGTAAGACGGATAAGGTGAAAGTTTACAGACTCAGAGGTAGAAAAAAGGTGAGGTGAGTACTGTGGAAGTAGACTAATATGCCATACAGTGGGTCATGGTAGCTAGAGTCAACTGAAGGTAGAAAAAAGGCGAGGTGAGTACTGTGGAAGTGGTGAAATATGACATACAGTGGGGTGATGGTAGTTTGAAGTCAGAGGTATATGACATACAGTGGGGTGATGGTAGTTTGAAGTGAGAAATAGGTAGAAAAAAGGTGAGGTTAGTACTGTGGAAGAAGTCGACAGTAGAGCAAAGGTGAGGTGAGTACTGTGGAAGGGGTCGAATTTGACATACAGTGGGGTGATGGTAGTTTGAAGTGAGAAGTCGAAGAGAAAAGGTAAGATGAGTACTGTTGAAGTGGTCGAATTTACGAATATGGCATAGAGTGGGATGATGGTAGTTTGAAGTCAAGTAGTCGAATTTGACATACAGTGGGGTGATTGTAGTTTGAAGTCATGTCAAATGCCGGTTAATAGACTTTTTTGCCGTATGAGAATGTAGGACATATAGGGGGGTCATGGTAGTTTGAAGTGAGAAGAAAACTGCCGGTTAATAGACTTTTTTGCCGTATGCGGAGAAGTCAACTACCAGTTAATAGACTTTGCCGTTGAAGTCAGAAGTCAACTGCCGGTTAATAGAATTTTTTTGCCGATAGTTTGAAGTCAACTGCCGGTTTATAGACTTCGAATATGACATAGAGAAGTCAACTGCCAGTTAATAGATCATGGTAATTGAAGTCAGAAGTCAACTGCCGATTAATAGACTTGGGGTCATGATAGTTTGAACTCAGAAGTCAACTGCCAGTTAATAGACTTACTCATGGTAGTTTGAAGTCAACTGCCAGGTAATAGACTTTAGTTTGAAGTGAGAAGTCAACTGCCGATTGATAGACTTTTATTTGAAGTCAGAAGTCAACTGCCAGTTAATAGACCTTTTCAGTCAGAAGTCAACTGCCGGTTTATAGACTTTTTTGCCGTTTGAGTAGTCAGAAGTCAACTGCCGGTTAATAGACTTTTTTGTGAAGTGAGAAGTCAACTGCCAGTTAATAGACCTTTTTGCGTTGAAGTCAGAAGTCAACTGCCGGTTAATAGAATTTTTTTGCCGATAGTGAGAAGTCAACTGCCGGTTTATAGACTTTTTTGCCGCTTTGAAGTCAGAAGTCAACTGCCGAATAATAGACTTTTTTATTGAGTCAGAAGTCAACTGCCAGTTAATAGACTTTTTTTGCCGTATGGCCGTATGATTATACGTTGCCCAGGGTGCACCACGTGGAGGTAAGTCTATTGAAAAACGAATGCCGAGTGATAGAATTTTTGCCGTAAGAAAGTACGTTGCCCAGGGTGCACCACGTGGAGGTAAGTCTATCGTAGTTAACTGCCAGTTAATAGACTTTTTGCCGTATGAATATAACGAAAGCCGAGTGATAGACTTTTTTGCCGTATGAATATACGTTGCCCAGGGTGCACCACGTGGAGGTAAGTCTATCGCACACTCCTCATGGGTTATATAAAACTAGGACAAAACGAAGAGGCTACATAGTGAACTCTTTGAGTTAACGAATACAAATGGAAATCGAGTTTAGCAAGCATCATATCCAATCAGTTAATTATGTTTCAACTTGAACCTTGACTCAACTGTTTCTTCTCTGTCATAGTCTTGCCGGATGCATTAGCATGAGTGGTGGTTTTTCATGAACATGACTGCAAGCAACGCTTGAAGAGCGCTGAGTACTTTAGCTATAGATATGTGGAATTGGAGCTTAATGTTCGAAACTCTATACCATCGTCGAAGGTGCTTGTGAAAGGTAAAGGAAAAAAATACCTAAAAAACATGCAAAATTTGGTAAGTAATTCAATCACTCAAAACGCGTTTATTCAGTAAGAAAACGACTCCGATTCTCTCGGTGATCTTGATTTACTACTTTTTAATGAAAGGTCATTTATAGTTTGTAAATTTTATTTGTTTAAGTCAACCATTTCTCAATTTTAATGCCAATTGATTATTTCAAGAAGCTATAGGGTTTTGGAATCACATCAGCATTGCATTAATAAGGTTAATGAAATTAATTACGCATTAATTTCATTACATTTCGACATTTGGGGTGCGCGATAGACTTACCTCCACGTGGTGCTCCCTGCGCAACGTATATTCATACGGCAAAAAAGTCTATTAACTGGCAGTTGACTTCTCACTTCAAACTACCATCACCTCACTCTATGCCATATTCGACTACTTTCACAGTACTCACCTCACCTTTTTTTCTACCTTTGTGTCTGCCTCTTTTACATCTTTGAAACACTCCCCCCCTCTCTCTCGACATTTTTCACTTTGATGTTCCTTCTCCTCTGCGAAGCCTGAAGTCAACTGAAGGGCTAATGATAACCATCAAGACGCCTGACATTTGATAAAAATACATTTCGACATTTAGAATTTCCAGTGATATCTCGACATCCATCATTTGTTTGAACCAATAAACATTGTTCTAAGCCGCAATTAATTTACAGAATGCAGAGCTAGGAATTCCAAATGGAAATTTTTCCATATAAATTTCTGTATAGACGCAAACCTCTCTAACGTTCAAACATGTAAATGAGGGTGACTAAATATAACAAATTGTGAATTTCAATTAGTGAGAAATTCTCGAACATGAAGTAAGGCGGGGGGGGGGGGGGGGGGGGGGGGGGGGGGGGAGGNGGGGGGGGGGGGGGGGGGGGGGGGAGGGGGGTAGAGAGAGTTTACATCGAAAGGAAGTATTCAGGTATCATGGGTGCATTTGAACGAATTAGACTTACCTTGATTAATCTAGTCTCTAAGAATTTCGGGCCAATTACATTTTGTAAGATTAGCTCCGAGCAGACTTGACTTCGCAATACATTTTATCTTAAAAAACCTAGGGTGCGCGACAGACTTACCTCCACGTGGTGCATCCTGGGCAACCTATGCTCATACGGCAAAAAGGTCTATTAATCGGCAGTTGACTTCTGACTTCAAACTACCATGACCCCACTGTATGTTAAATTTGACCACTTCCACAGTACCCATCTTACCTTTTCTCTGCCTATGTGACTATCTTTTACTTTACATCTGTGAATCACTCTTCTTCCCCCCCCCCTCCTATTCTCGAATTTTTCTCGCTATATTGTCCCCCACCCTCTGTGAAATCCGAAGTCAGTTAAAGGGCTAATGATGACTATCAATATGCCTGCCATTCGAAATGAATAAATATTAAAAAAACCTCTTATTAAATTATAATCAAAGTCAAGGCAGTTTTTGGCCTTCATTAAACTATTCCTCTCAATATCATAGATGCTATTTTTTGAAAAGTATGTTGGTTGGGGCAATTTCATAGGCCATAAAGGAATTAAATAAATAGGGAAAGCCAGAACTATTTCATTATAACCATGGATAAAATATTTATAATAGGAAAGATAAAAGCCTATTTGTATGTTTTTTAGAGTTTGGTAAAATTGAACTGCTTAAAGACCATTCGGAACTTCTTTAACAGATTCCCACCCCACATGGCCATTTTAAATTCAGAATTATGACTCCATATGCACTCTAATATTGCTTTCTATACATAGTTATTTCGAATCTACTTTCTTCACAAATTCTCTGATCGACAAACCTAGCCACTGAATAAATTTCTTTTGAGGCCTTCTGAAAGGCCAGTAGTTTCAAAGGGACTCATCTCCCCACCTTGAAGCCATGAGAAACCAACCCACCAATCAAGTGCGCATGATAGCTCTATCGACAATTACACATAAAAAGAATGCTTATGCTAGTCTATACAACAAACAATCTGAAGAGAGAAAATTGAAACAAAGTAGAAAATAACATTTCCTATTTTTTTATGAAAGAATCGATTTCTTTTCAACAATTGCCGTAATCGTCAGTAGCCTCCCTAGTTCCTGTGGCTTGTATAATGCTTGACTGCCTGCATATACCATAGGAAGATGTATTTGGGCGGTGGTCGAGTTAGTCAATAAGTTCAGCAGTGATAAGAATGTCCTCTTAGGCAAGGGAATAGAAGAACAATGACCAATAACGTAGTGCAGCGAGAGGGATAGTCTGTGGGCTTTATTCCGGTGCACCAACTAAAATCTACTTGGAGTTCTAATC